GGTAAAGCAAAATCTGTCACTGCCAAGATGAGTACCAAAACTCAGAAAGCAGCTAAGCCAAGGGTGTAGAAACCTCCAGAATCTTTGCAAAGGTCACAAACTGAAGTACTCGGAAACTAAGAGATGCCTGAGTTGAGTTCATCCATGCAATCCTTACTTTACCAGCTTGATACATCTGCCTGATCAGGCTCTTAATTGCCTGATCGCATACTAGTCTTACTGCAGGATTGTTTCCTCATTTAGTCCGTGGTACATTTTCAGCATCAGTTTTTCCTTCCTTCACAAAGCTGGCCCAACTCCACACCATCCATATTCCAAAATTTCTACAGGTTCTCTCTGTGGTACCTGTGTACTTCTCAAACACCAGCGCGTCTGTCTCCACACTCTGGAAGTGAGATCATCCTTGTTTTGATAACTTGATAAAAGAGATCACTAAATTTGAATGTTCTGTGGCAAATGCTTACCTTTTGCTATTGTCAGATCACTTAGCATTTCCAGTGCAGCAAATGCATTTACAGAGGGAATCGTTTTCAAAGATCAGCCAAAAAGAGACACTTTAGAGGGTTTTTTCCCTGCCGCACTTCTAACGATTCTCTTATGTGTGAACTTTTTTTCTTATAGCTCAGAAATTTGTGCAATTTAGGTGAATGAAGTATGTTCATGATGACCAAATTTCAACCATTTGATTCTGAATACAAAGGCATTAGAGCTCCTTGGAAAAGTAATTCTTAGTTATTATTTAACACCAAAAATATGTTTGTTTAGAATGAAGTCTGTAAACCAGATGAACAGTTTTAGAGAGCGCATTACCTCTTGAACAGAGAACTTTTAGTCCAAAGAGGTGAAACCTGACAAATAGAGAAGTGTTTGAAAATAGGGCCCGAAAGAAAAAAAAACCCTGCAACTGTCAGGCATACTGAACTAGCAACAGTGAAACAATACGTTCTTACAGGCTTTTGGGGACATGCAAGCCCTGAAAGAGCAAATAAACTTTCTGAGTAGCTTCCCCAGAGGAGCATTTGCGTGATGCCGTTTGACAAAAACAGGATACAACCCCCTTAGCACCGAGGAGCCCTAAAGCTGATTAGGTGAACAAGCCCACACTTGCTGCGTACTGACCAGGGGGTTCTTATACTAAACCCCCTTGTTAGCTGCTGGCATGGCTTTTCTGGCATGGGATTTAGATTCATACAGCATTCACATGGTAAAAGCCACTCCAGTACTCCTCCAAGAAAGGTCAGTTTTTTAAGAACCAGAATGAAATGAAATTGGCAGTGACATGTGGGACATCATTCATGAAGGAAAGACATCTGGAGATACTGAGGTGGTCTAAACAAACCCAGGTGTTTTTTGGACCTGGGTTTCAGAGCCTTCAGTCTGTTGTCCCATGAGGATCTCAACATCGAGGATATGAAGATTGCTCTGGGTTTTCTTTGTCCTGAGCACTGCTGTTTCTCAGCTGGCAGCATCCCCTCGAACCCAGCGCTGCGACGTTGACTTGCATCAGCGACGGATCAAGCCAGGAGTCGGCATAATTGGAGGTCTGCATTCTGGACTCCTGTGTAGGAAGCAGCAGGAAAGTGGCTGTACTTGGAGCAGAATCAAACCAGATTTAAAGTAATGGGAATATTTAAGCTGTGAAAACTTTTTAAAAAAATTGCTCTGCTACGTTATTTTAGTAAATATTTGTAGGTGTCTGTAATAAGGGGGTAATCACTGCATTTCCTTTCAAACAAAAGCAAGAAGAGCAGTTTTCAGTAATACTGGGTGATAAGCAAGGCATTGTAATGGATGGTTTTAACCTTACTTTTGCTGTCAGATTATGTGCTACAGCAGTTCTTGAGTGTCTGTCCTTGCAGCACAGAAAAACTAGTTTGTCTCTGGTCTTTACTGATGCAAGAACTCCCCAGTAGCTGGCAAGCAGCAAGGCATGGAAGGAAGGAAGGAAGGAAGGAAGGAAGGAAGGAAGGAAGGAAGGAAGGAAGGAAGGAAGGAGCGAGCCTAGCACTGCTGAGAGTCACAGAGATGAACCACAGCTCAGACGGGCTGGGGTCTAGGTCCAGTATCATGGCAGTGCAGACAGTTTTCAGGTTAGACTGGAGTCCAGGTCCCAGAGAGTCCGTGGCATAACTGGTAGCTCAAAGGATGTTAAAGAATTATGAGGGATTCACAGCAACATGACAGGTGTGCGGTTAATGTTGTGGATGGTGTACAAGATGTTTCTATATATTTATGTGTTTCTTGTGCCAGTGAAATAAAAAATAAATTGGTTTGGGAACTTTGAGAAAGCTCATGCATCTCTTCTTCAATTTACTCCCTGTCCCAGAAGGGGAGGACCATACATTCAGAATGCCCACAAGAAAGTGGTGCTAGAAGAAAGGCTGTGCCAGAAATGTGTCTCTTCTCGAGGGTGAAAAACTGCTGAGCCACCATTTCCATTTTCATCAAGGAGTGAGGCACAGAGCTGGGGGCAGGTAAAGGAACACTGTCCTGAATAACCTACAACTTCCAGTGCAAGACAGGAGATCTCCCAGTGAGAAAGAGCAGGAAGCAGAGGCAGCTGCTCTTCCAACCCCCAGCCGCAGTTCTTCTTTAGCAGAGATCCATGCTGCAAGGGCAGCCTGCGTGGGACACGTGCCGGGAGCACCCAGGGGAGAGCCAGAGTTGCAGCACGTGTGGTCAGGGACATTTTATAGCTCCTGGCCCCAGCGGAAGGGAACCCAAACACAACAGCCAGGTGACAGTCCAGCCCTGACTGGATCCGTGGGCTTTAGGAGCCCTAGGAAAACAGCGCACAAAAGTAAAGAGTAATAATATTAGAAAAAAAGACCTGGTTAGCAGTCTGTAATGAACTGCTGCGTTCCTCAAGGGATTGCTTCACCTCCTTTTTCTAATTCTGGTGCAATGCTTATAATACTGATGGATCAGGGTAGGTTTACAGAGGCCCATTTGCAGATCCACACTAGAGCCAGTAACAGAATGAACAAGAACAGAAAGTGAATTTCAGTTTGTTTCTTTTTTTTTTTTTTCAACTTTCTTTCAGAACAACCCAAATATTTACAAAGGCAAGGCAGCTCCCGTGTTCACAGTGTTGCAGCATACTGCTCTCGCTACATTCTTGCTAAAAATGAAATAGGAATGGTTTCTGGACAAAAAACAGAGCCTGTGATTTTTCACTTCCACTCCTCCCATCAAAACATGGATTATGGTGAAAAGGACAATCTGGAATTGCTTTATTAAGACTCGTCATGAGAAAGTTGTAGCTGGAAGGTTGGCTACCTCACTGATAAACACCTGTACATTTTCCACTCACCCAGTCCTTCTTGGCTTCCAAGCTCAGGGCAAGTGCAGGATAGAACAGATTCGTATCTGAAAACAAAAAAAAAACCCAAACTGTACTGAGCAAAAGATTTCAGAGAAAACTGATCTGAATTGGATTTCACTTCTTCCCCAACACCAGAAAAGTGTACAAGTTTTCCCAGGCTGGAGCAGAAAGGTTATATATAGCACTACAATTTAATTCACATGACAATTAAAAAATACATTAAATGGTCTTCCTTATGCATGAGAAAAGATTATCAGAGTTTTCCCCTTTTCCTCTTTTAGGTTATTAAAAATGTAGCTCCTTCAAGAGTAATAAATTAACTCGGAAAGGATTGCTTAAGTGAGACCCCGGTTGTGATTAAAGGAAGTTTGGAGTTCAGGAGAAGTCTGTTTGAAAAACATCCTCAGTGTTTGGAGTATCGCATATGGCTTTTGACAACTAATTTAGGAGAAAAGTGGTAGGGAATGAACCTCAACAGGAAAAGCACTTGTTTTTTGTCACTTTGTGACATTACCGAAACATTGTTTCCCCTCATTTGTATTTTTCCCCATAAGTTCATATCAAAACAGAAAAGACTTTGAAAAAGGCAGCAGAACTGTCATAAGGGATGATGCTAGCTAGTCGGGAGGTTACACTTTATTATGTAAATACATGTTTGAGGGTATTTTAAAATGCATATCTTGTGGTTAGAGGCAGATTATTAGTTTGATAAACTAATCCAAATAAAGCGTACCAATCCCTAACATAAATGTCAGTTGTGTGACTTCTTGGAGATCTGCAAGCTACCTGATGGACCATAACTGTCTCTCTTTGGGCACCCATCAGTCTCACTAGTTGGAGCATCACCCAGGAGGCTGCTGGTCTTCGCCAGATCCCACTGCCAAAATCCACCTCTGGGAAAAAAGTTCCTGTGGCGCTTTCCCATGGGTAATTCCCTAGCGTTGAGCACCCCGAGCTTGGATTCAGATTGGAGCGGAAGGAAATAAAACTTCAATCTGTGAATAAAGCCTTCACTTACATATAAAGCCAATGAAACGGCACGACTTTCCCTTCTTTTTTCTGTAATTTACAAATGGCTAAAATTATTTCCCTGGCAGAGACATCCATTTCTTAACCGCTTAGTGCCCGTGCTGGCTGCACCAGCCTGCAGCAACGTGCCAGCGCTCGCTCTGGAGGTACCAAGAGGAGCTGGATGAAGAACTTGCAGCGCATAATTTATTCAGCGAATATAGGCCCTTTTTTGTGCTTTGCGAGAACTCCACGGGGAAGGCAGGTGGGTTCGGCTGGGTTTTTTTACACTTAGTTGTTGAAATTCTTTCAAGGAACTGCTGCGTGTTTGCGTGCAATATCTGCACGTCGGCGGCTCGAGGAGGGAAGCGCTCGGGGGTGTGGGCAGCCGAGGTGCGGGATGCGTGTGGCCCACGCGGGCCGGTGCCACGCACCTCCTGCCCTCCGGCACAGACCTGGCGGGTGAGCGGGAACCCTTGGGAACGCTTCCAGGGACTGCTGAGACACTCGCCTGGCGTCTGCCGTGCCGCCGGCTCCACTTCGCCTAAATATGCCTGAAATCTGCGGCACCTCGCGCGCCTGCAAAAATAATAGTAAATGGGGCGGGGGAT